GATTCAATTATTATAATTATTATAATTACTAAAGTAATAATTATGTTAAATGAATTTAGTTCTTTTTTTTATCAAATATTCGTAAAATGCATACAATCTTAGTGAGAAGTGCAACCGTCCACACGACGAAGTTATGCAGCTTAAGATATAGAGCATTATCGTGGGAATTGTATGCATCTATACCTTTCATAAATTGTACAAAGAACTAAACGTTTAATAATAAAAGAAACAATTGAATCCCTATATTCTTATGAGTTTTAATTTCAATGCCGATCAAAGCAAATAGGTCAAAGTGCCTAATTGCTCAAAATAATATAATAACAAATAAAGAAGATATTATGGAAGACGCAGTTTAACTTAAGTTGGTTCAATTGCCAAACTCAGTATATGCAATAGTAACTGATTCAAACAATTTGATCAATCTGATGCACTGTGTAGACTTGGTATGATATTTCTGCTATCGAATAATTACCATCCAAGGCTACCAACTGCAAATTCTAGGTTATTTTTCAACTAAAAATTGTTACAACTTTCGACTAGATCTGTTGGTCACATTGGATTACCAACGTTGTTACTTTCAACTTTATTGATTAGTCAAACAATGCCACTACAATGGAATACCAGACTGGTGTGAATTTTGCTTTATAACGACAATGCTATATAAAATATAACACCATAAAAACAAAATTTTTTTAAAGGATACTATAAATCCAAATTGAGAAATTACTTTCATTCCTTATAATTTTTTTAATCAGTTTCTTTAGATCCTTAAAGAGCAAAAATGTCATTTTATATCCGTATATTAATATGTATATATACATATAAGCAACAATGTTTAATTTTTGCTGCAATTGTCTTATAACTTTTTGCTTTTAATTTGACGATTGTGTTTTGTAGTTATTGCACTTTTTAATAAAAACAAAAATTAAAAATTCCTTAATAAGAAATTAACTTCTTTACGATTACTAATCAGTATCAGTAATTTTTTTTTTAAATAATTAAATTCACTCTTTAACACTCGCAACTTACTTACTTAGTTGGCCATTATAGACGTGGATCGTCCTTCACCGCATCGAGAATTCTCCGCCAGTCAGCCCGTTAAGTTGCATGCTGTCGCTATTTAGTATTACCGAGCGCTGACCAAATCGTTGGTCACCTGGTCTTTCCACCGAAGCTGCAGAAGTCCTATGCCGCGTTTTCTACCTGGCTCATACAGCTCATGTTTCTAACTAATTCGATAATTGTTGTCAACACGTAGGGGACCATAGATCTTCCGAAGAATTTTTCTCTTGAATGCTGCTAACGCCTTCTCATCACTATTGGTATTTGTCCAAGCTTCTGCACCATACAGCAGAACGGCATGAAAAGAGACTTGTAGAGTGTGATTTTTATTTGTCGAGAGAAGGGTTTATTTCATCTGTTGACAAGAGTGATTCTTTATTGAATCCCTAGGCTGACGTCATTTTTGGTATTTACACTGGTTTCCAAATAAATAAACTCTTTCAAAACCAAGAAATTATAATTGTCAACAGTGACATGGGTTCAAAAACGCTCAGGAGACTTGTTTGTTGTGGGTCTAATGGGTGTCCAACAACATTTGTTTCGCTTTCCGTCTGAAATCACATTTCAGTAAATCTAGAATGAAAAATAAGGTATTATAAGGCTTTTGGTATTATTATTATTAAGAAAAGGAATCGTGCACTGCGAACTAAAAGATTTCTTGTGTTCCTTAGTGGGATTAGAGTGTTTCTCTAAGTCCGATTTCTTTAATGAAAGACAGTATAGAGCCTATCTGTCCTAATCTTGAATCCTTATGACTTATGAAATACCCTCCAAGGTGTTTCTTCCGCTTATGCGTCAGTGCCGAGCACTCTCCAAGCACATGGTAAGCAGTTTCTCTCTCTTCTCTACAGTATCTCCAGTCTGAGTTGGATTGAATTCCTAACTTCGATATATTTGGTGTTAGAATTTTCAAATTAATTTAAGCTAGGTGTTTGGGACTACTGCATTTGTGTTACAACTATTTATATATTCTCACAACAATAGCTTAGATACATAATAAGCAGTCTCCGCCAAATAATTTCCTAAATTTTTAAATATTACCAGATAATAAACAAAACAAAAACTTTTCATTTGGAAACTAATTAGATGCATTGTTACTAATCTAATAGTTTCTGTATTATATTGAAATTTTATTTTATTTTATTTTATTTTTTTTTATTTTATTTTATTTTATTTTATTTTATTTCATTTATTCGCATAATATTTTAGAAAATGCAATCAAAAGCCTATAAAATGAATTGTAATTTTACTAACTGAATTTGCAATTTGCTTCGTATTTGGAACTTTTTAATGAGTTGCTTGTGAAACTTTCAGAATTCCGCATTGAATGAAAACAAAAATGTTAGTTTTATGTAAAAAATAAACTATAACTAAATAAACAGTGTAGCATAATTGCATGCATTTTCAAATATTGTTAGTGAATCGCTGATCTAGCAAAATCGAATATTCACAAAATTGATTATTAATATGCATAAGCACGATTTGCAATGGATAAGTGAGTTAAATGGCATCAATCAAATGACCACAATAATCAGTTCACTTGTTCCTCTTATAAATTAAAATATTCCAAACTAAAATCCAAATTAACAGACACGAAACTGAAAAATTTCGGCATAAATAATTGATTGCGTGACAGGAAATTAAATGCATTATTAAAAATTTCGGGACATGCACACATCCTTGCAACCAATGCGATCTACGAGCTCGCATGGAAAATTGCGTATCGAGGACGAAATGCGATTGCGATTGCGAATGTGTGTGCCATTTCAATTTAATCCTTTTATGTATTTTGACAGCTTACAAAACGGCAACATGTGTGAAATATTGCAAATAATATTAATTCTGAAGTGTATTTACGGATATTGGTGGATTTGCTAATATACAAAAATTCGTTAATTCAATTTGCTCTCCAAATATGCGATTTTCCAGTTGCTTAACATGGAAAAGGGCTTAACTGACGTACTAAATTATTCGCACGGAATATGAGTACCAGGAGAAAGAAATTGTTCAAAAAAAAAAAAAAATTGCGTACTAACTTTTCTCAATTTTGATAAGGCAAAATTAGCGGCGGCAAAGTTCAAATACTGGAAAAAGTTTCTAATAATATTGATTGAACGGCAGAGTCATTGGTAGCAGCAACGTTTGGCAATGCTCTAGTCAATGTATGTTACAAACCCTATTAGATTGGAAAGGTGCCTGTTTATGCAAACAACAAAAATTTCACTCGTATATAGCTATTACAAATAAGTAGGGCTTAAAAGTTTCCAGAGAAAGGCGAACAACGCTAACGAGTATATCCAATATAACTTCTTACGGTTTCCTTCCAAACACATTTTGAATTTCAGATGTAGTTAAGAAGATTTAAGTGATACGTACTAATATGTATCACGCTTCAGTAAGCTCAATCACCCACAGATTCTTTTTCTTATGATTTCAAGACTATATTAGGAAATCTAGGTAGAAATAAAGGGAGTTAAAGCTAGCTTCAGATGAAAGTATTACATGCGTCGTATCAGACGGCAGTGTTTCGGACCAGTTGCTAGTACTACCACTGTCCTCAGACAGACATTTGAGGTTATATCTATGTAGACAATTACTCCACACCTTTGATAGTATGATGTATGTATGTATATGTATATTAACAATCCAATTCTGTATGAACTTTAAAATTTTATTTCTGTACTTATAATCTGAAGCTGTGAATGGTTATAATTAATAGAAATATAAAAACCTTAAAAGTGATTTTTTTGATTTGATATTTTTCCTTTAGCTTTTATTTGTTTTAAAATCTGTCATATAAGAGATTTAAATTTTATTTTATTTTAATTAAAACTTATTAAATTCTGCACACTTACAAATATGTGATGTGTGTGTGTGCACTTTGCATATGAAATATCAGCTCAGTTTTTAATAATTACCTTAAGCTCTGCTACTTTAAATCGTCCTCACCACTAGTCCCGAATGCTTCAGGACACCTTTGTGGTATTTGTTTAAGGCATTTATATACACTACAGTATTGCTATTGTTGATGTGGATGATGTGAAATGCATTATTTGTAAGTGGCTCTGGATATTCCAACTGCAAATTCCTTAAATTATTTACTCAATGAATGCATAAAAATATTGAAGCCATATTATATGTAGACGATTGTGAAAACTGCTATTTAAATGAAAATTTATTTGTGGGACTTATTTAAGTCTACAAATAAATATAAATATGTTTAAATATAAGTGCAACACAAAAAAACAACAAACTTGTAGTAATTCGCAGATAAAATCTGAAAATCTGATGTAAACAGAAGAGGAATTATGGATTGGTTATGTAAAAAAATAATGAAAAATCTTTCTGTACCATGCTTTAAATAAATGGTAAGTGGTAAAGTGGTAAGTTTAAAAGTAAAACTTTTAATACTTTTAGATAATATGAGATGTGCCGTGTCTTAAAATTGTTCGAACTGTTATACGTTCCCTTACTACTACTGCTACTATGGCCCACTTATCTCAGCGGGGCAAAAGGCCTCAATAATTTTTCTAAATCTGACTCTATTTGGTACTCCTCTATAGATGTCGTTTTATGTATATTGGGATTTAGCTAGTTCACTTTTGACCATTCTTCTCCACGTTTTCGTTGGCGCAACAGGTCCTATGCTAGCTTGTGGATTCCATGATTATTTAAAAATAATCATTTAATGAATTATTTACGTATGACACCTAAATAGTCTATATTTACTTGATTAAAACCTACTTTGACCGAATTTATCATTCAACAAAAAGATATAGCTTTGAATGAACTTATGGGAAATTGACAAAGAACTTTTTATTTGATAGCAGTTTTCAAAAAGTTAACATGTTTTTTAAATGCCAAATTTGCATTCTGACTGTTTTAAATTGAAAAAACATGAATATAATTTTCAAATACAGTAGATTTAAACACAATATCGAAAAGAAGTTACCTTGAACTTAAACAATTTTTATAAGGTATATTATTGTGTTACTTGTGACTTGAAGCCTCACGATTGCAGGTGATATTAAATTCGTTCATTAGTTATCTGTAAGTTACTTTCTTTAGAAATTCGTTAATGTTAATCATCTCAGCTTTTAAAACCAATTCTCTATCATTGTATTAAAAATTGTAGACCTTATTTCTTGATTAACTCTTAACTCTTGGAAGTATATCACCGTGGAAGTATTCAGATCAGTGTTCATACAAGTTTAGCCAAGTGCTGTTGGAAGTACTGGTGTGATCTTTAAGAAAATTGCTATCTGCATTGATCAGTGGTTAAGTCCTTATGGTTTGGTAAGTTAAACATCACGATTCTTCGAGATATATGACACAGTCCCTTATAGTAGAAATTTTTATTATAACATATATAAGCTCAAGTCTTGAAAGAAACTAAAATGAATTTTTTTTAATATTATCTCTTGTGCCTGGTCGTTGCAGCTTTAAGTAACCAATAAAAATTTGAACTATATTTTTTTAATTTACTAATACTTAATATCAATTGAAAATTGAAAATTGAAAACTGAAAATCACAATTAACACGTGAATAATATTTGAAATCCTTATTGTTTTAGTTCATCATACAGAGCAGCGTACCTTAAGGATTTATTTGGTGGAAACTTTTATTATCGTGAACTAAAACTTAAGTAATTATAAAAATATATATAAAAAACTATATATAAAAAGCTTTAATATATTTTTTTAGACAAAATGACCATTCTTGATTTAGAAATTGAAGAATCCGACTTTAATGAAACAGAGCTTTCATTGATAATGGAAGACCTTCGGGAGGCCATCAGAACTCATAACTCTATAGATGATATAATGATCTGTATTCAAAACTGTTGGAATGATAA